TCTTTCGATGGAATTGCAACGGAAATTTGTTCCATCGTTTTATTACGACGGAATTTTGTGACGAAAGATGAAAGTTGCAACGAAACTGTTGGCGATGGATCGCGACGATAATTGGTTCTTTCGTTTTCTTATGATGGAATTTTGTGACGGAATAAGAAATTTGCAACGGAATCGCGACGATAATTATTTTCGTCTTTATATTTTGGTTGCCGTACAAAATGACAAACAAATACCAAGAGTATTCCGGGGTTATCGATCCACAGGGAAGTGGGATATTAAGCACTAGCTACTCATTTATTCACGAGAATCTATTCCTAACGTTATGAGAGATGGTTCAATATAATCAAATAATAGTAAAATAAAGACAAGACAAACAAACTTGGAATTTCAACAGAATGAAGACTGAGATTTTTGGGGGTTAAGTGTTTAATCACCTAGTGCCAATCTAAGGTGAAATAATTAATTTGGTCTTAAACAAGTGCGAAAGATTGCATACAAAAGAGATGAATTACTCCCATAATTTCAATTCAAAATAATGTGAGTGAATATATTCAATCCCATAAAATAATCACTTAAACATTTCCGTTGCCAAAACCGCAACAAACTCGTGACAGATTGATTTCTATGGCCACCTTCGTGACGGAAAATTCCGTTGCCACCCCTCATGACAAATTATTCCCATCGTGAAATGAAATATGACACGCCTAGAGCCTACGGAATGAATTTGGTTGCGAAAATGTAAAATTCCATAACAAAACACGATTTTTCTTGTAGTGATACTGTGATAGACGTCGGTTCTTTCATAAAACCGACGTTGAATGTATTTATTATTTAAGAAAATAATTTATGTCAATTTGTGTATACTCGACGTAATTATGGTACTTTAGACGGTGGTTAGTGAATCAATGTCTATAATTTTATATTTTACGTCGGTTCTTTTTACGTCACTTTAATAACCGATATAAAAAGTAAAAAATAACTAAGGTAAAAGCCTATAATTGTAGTAGTGTATTTTTGGATATACTCATTTGAATGACATGTATATAAATATATAATTTTTGCTTTGAATTCTAATATCTGTTGCAGATCTGAGAGCAATAGAAAGATGAATTGAAAGGAAGAATTTCGTATGTTTATTCAGAAGAAAAGAAAGGCCTTTATACAAAGAAGCTTAGCTGCCTAACTGCCCTATGAACAGTAATAACTGCTACATGAACAGTGTTAACTGCCAAACTAACTGCCAACTAATCAAAACAGATTTAACAAAACACTTAAGGACTAATTATTGAGTTTATATTCCTAAAACCCCCCCCTCAAGCTGGATTGTATAGGTCCATCAATCCAAGCTTGGAAATGTAGTGATTGAATGACTTAGGGCAGTGAGATTTGGTGAAGGGATCTGCTAGCTGGTTTTCTGAAGTGATGTGGAGAAGCTTGATGATCCCTTTGCTTAGTCGTTCCCTTACCAAATGACAGTCCAACTCAATATGTTTTGTCCTCTCATGGAAAACAGGGTTTTCTGCAATTGCAATTGCAGATTTACTATCACAATACACAGATGCAGCTCCATTGTGATGAATGCCTAGTTCTGCAAGAATGAAGAATAGCCACTGTATTTCACAAGTGGTGGCTGCTAGTGCCCTGTATTCAGCTTCTGAAGAGGACTTGGAGACTGTGGGCTGCTTCTTAGACTTCCAAGAAATCAAGGCATCCCCTAAGAAAATACAAAAACCAGTTACTAATTTCCTTGTGTCAACACATGCCCCCCAGTCTGAATCAGAAAAGGCTCTTAGCTGCAGATTGGAAGCTACTGGGAAGAAGAGCCCTTGGCCAGGAGCAGCTTTAATGTATCTCAATATTCTGTGGGCAGCTTGAAGGTGCAAGTCAGTGGGCTTGTCCAAGAACTGTGACAGTTGCTGTGTTGCAAACCCAATGTCAGGCCTAGTAATGGTTAAATATAGGAGTTTGCCCACTATTCTTCTGTACTGTGTGTTGTCTTCAAGAGGCTCACCTTCATTCTTGCTCAACTTATGTGAGAGGACAGTGGGACTATGAACTGGTTTAGAATGTATGAATCCTGTATCAGTGAGTAGCTCAATAGCATACTTTCTTTGGCAAACAGCTATGCCCTTTCTGTGTCTAGCCACCTCTAGGCCAAGGAAAAACTTCATAGGCCCTAAGTCCTTAATTTGAAACATGTCATTTAGCTGGGTTTTCACCTCTTGGATGGCTTCTAAATCAGCACTTGCAGCAACTATGTCATCCACATATATCAATAGGGCTATAAAAGACTAACCTTCTCCTTTTGTGAATAATGAATTATCATGCAAGGATTGCTTGAACCCCATCTTTTGCAGTGCAATATTCAGCTTAGTGTTCCATTGTCTGCTAGCCTGTTTTAGCCCATATAAAGATTTGTTTAACCTGCAAACTTGTCTGTCTGTATTAGCTGGTAATCCAAGAGGCAACTGCATATATACTTCTTCTTCCAAATCACCATGAAGAAATGCATTGTTTACATCCATTTGGTGTAGGTGCCATTCCTTTGCTGCTGCTACTGCCAGAAGTGTCCTTACAGTAGTCATTTTTGCCACTGGACTAAATGTGTCCAAGTAATCAATTCCAAGAGTTTGGTTGTAACCCTTTGCTACCAATCTTGCTTTATATCTTTCTATAGTCCCATCAGCCTTATGTTTGATCTTGTATACCCACTTACATCCAATTGGCTTCTTGGAGGGAGGTAGATCCACCACTTCCCAAGTATTGTTCCTTTGCAAAGCATTGATCTCTTCTTGCATGGCTTTCCTCCAATGATCATGCTGAATTGCTTCCTGGAAATTTTGTGGTTCAGAATGGCAGGATATATTCATAACAAAGGAGTAATGTGAGTCCTCCAATCTTCTATAATCCATGACTTTGGATATTGGATGGGGAGAAGTCTTGACTGTAGCTTGACAAATATAATCCTGTAAATAGCTAGGGGTTTGCCTCTGCCTAGTGGACTTTCTGTTATTCTGATGATTTGAGCTTTCTGTAGCCAAGTACATATCTAGGACATCAGGTGGCTGTTCAGTTGATGGAGGGGACCTGGTTTGTGTGTCATTGCTACTGCTAGCCTGACCTTGAATGTGCCAATCTCCTGTTGACTGCTCAGGGCCTTCTTCATTGATACAATGACTGAGCTGGTCATGAGCTGTGTCAAAGTTTTCAGGGGGCATGGTGTTCATGGTGGGGAGGTTGATTTGACAAGATCCATTTGAGCTAGTGGTCTGCTGGAAAGGGAATACTTGTTCATAAAATACCACATCTCTGGAAATGAAAAGGGTTTTATCCACAACATCATACATTTTATACCCTTTGGTGCCACTGACATACCCAAGAAAAATACATTTCTTGGCTCTAGCATCCATCTTTGATCTAGGACCAACTGTTGCTGCAAAGGCTAGGCATCCAAACACTTTAAGGTTTTGATAGTCTGGGGCCTTCTTTATCAAAACCTGGTAAGGAATCTGGTTGTTGATGGCAGCTGAGGGTAATCTGTTGATCAGATAGGCTGCATGTAAAATACATTCCCCCCACAAGTTCTCAGGTAAGCAAGCTTGGAATTTAAGGGCTCTAGCAACTGATAGCAGGTGTCCATGTTTCCTCTCCACCCTACTGTTCTGCTGAGGGGTGTGAACACATGAAGTTTGGTGTATAATACCCCTCTGATTAAAAAAATCATTCATCCTGAATTCCAGGCCATTGTCAGATCTAATACACTTGATCTTGACCCCAAACTGATTTTCAACCAAGGTGTAGAAGTTTATGATTAGATTTCTCACTTCTGACTTTTGTCTCAACAAATAAATCCAGACAGCCCTGCTGTGATCATCAAGTATGGTAAGGAAGTAGTGATGATTGTGTATGGTGGCAACTTTGTAAGGGCCCCATATATCAACATGCAATAAGTCAAAACAGTTAGCTGTTGAGGAAGCACTAGACTAGAATGGTAACCTTTTCTGTTTGGCAAAATGACAATTATCACAAATCAAGCTTTTATTCACATGAATCATGGAATCTATCTGTTTCAACAAATGTGTTTTGACATGGGAGGCATGTCCTAGTCTAAGATGCCACAAGGCACTATTATCTGTACTGGAATTAGAGTTGCATACAACAGATGAGATAATAGGAAAGACTAGGTGATATAATCCATTTTGCAGCTCAGCCCTTCCAATCATTCTCCCATGGAAAGCATCCTGTATTATGCATTGATTAGAATACATTTCCATTCTGTACTTGGTGTTTCTAGTGAATGATCCTACTGAAATCAGATTATAATGAAAGCCTGGCACATAGAGCACATCATGCAGTATTAAATCATCAGATAGAAACACTGAACCAGTAAAGGTGATGGGAGCATGTTGCCCATTTGGTAGATTGACATTCATATTATGAACTCTCCTCTGATTTCTTAGTAACTCAACATCACAAGCAATGTGGTGAGTGGCACCACTGTCCACAATCCAATCAGTCTTGTTACAGCTAACAGAATTAAGTGAAGGAGGAATACCTTCAGACTGTAAATTGGCTGACACAGTGTTGACTAAGGTTTGAGATGGTTGATCAAAAGGTGAGTTCATCCCATCAGCAGCTGGTTTCCTTGCTTCCATGAACTCCAGGAAATTTCTGAAATCATCTTGGGTAAAATTCATGCCCCTATCTGTATTTTGCTGCTGATTTCCTTGAACTTGATTTACTGAAGTTTGACCTCTTGATCTTGGTTTCCACCCAGGTGGATAACCATGTTTCTTGTAGCATTTGTCATGAGTATGACCTGTGTAACCACAATAAGTGCAGACAGGTCTTTTTGCATTCCCCATGGCTTTCTTGAATCCTGACTGAGAGCTGCTAGCCAAGAACACACTCCCTGCTGAACTACTTTCCCCTGCTTGATGTAACTGGCTTTCAAACTGTGTGTTTCCCATCTGAAACTGTCTCTCTTGTTGGGCCACCATTTAATAAGCTTCATTCACCTCTGGTAGAGGTCTCAGTAGCATAATCTGATTTCTAGCCCATGTGTATCTCTCATGCAATCCAATTAAGAAGATAGACAGTTTATCCATTTCAAGCTGTTCATTGAGGTCATCAATTTTCTTCCCACAGTTGCATTTGACAGCACAATCACAATATACCATGGGCCTAAGAATACTCAACTCATCCCACATTAGTTTCTGTTTAGTAAAGTATTCATTCAGGGAGTTATCTCCTTGTTTGATTTGATAGATCTCACACTTGATTTCTGCAATTCTAAACAAGTCTTGCTTGCTAAACCTTCTCTTTAGGTCATTCCAGATTCCATGAGCCGTATCTATCCACAACACACTTCTCCCAATAGTTGGGGATAGAGAGCGAATTATCCAAGAAGCAACTATGTTGTTGCACCTTTCCCAGGCCATGTACCTTTCTAGGTCATCCTCAGGTGGTTTTCTAATCGCTCCATTGATGAAGGCAGTCTTGTTTTTACAAGATAATGCCATGGTCATTGCCCTAGCCCACGTATGGTAATTAGAGCCATCCATAGGGAAGGGGACCAATTCTAAAGCAGGGTTTTCATTGATGTGCAAATAATAAGGGTTCGATTGATTTTGAGGGTTAAATGATACCTCTGTTGAGTTCAAGCTTGTCGCCGCCCTAGCAGGTGGCTGTGCTGCGCCTGTGTTCATCGGATTTCCTCCCGGAGCAGGGAGACTGGTGGTGTTGTTTGCTGGGACGGGATGATTCCCGATTGTAGGCCACGCCGTTGCCATCGAATACAGAGCGAAAGGATACTATTGCTCAGAGAGATCCTGATTGCAATTGCTCTGATACCATGTTGCAGATCTAAGAGCAATAGAAAGATGAATTGAAAGGAAGAATTTCGTATGTTTATTCAGAAGAAAAGAAAGGCCTTTATACAAAGAAGCTTAGCTGCCTAACTGCCCTATGAACAGTAATAACTGCTACATGAACAGTGTTAACTGCCAAACTAACTGCCAACTAATCAAAACAGATTTAACAAAACACTTAAGGACTAATTATTGAGTTTATATTCCTAAAAATATCTGTGAAATTTCAATATCTGATATTCAGATCAAATTTGTATTACAATATCACATAACAAAAAATATCCGAACCAATAATCTATTGAGTTCAACCAAATTCTAAAACTTGGTATATAGTTCAATTTTTAATTTTGATAATGTGAATAATGTCTAACTTTAAAGGTAAGCAAATAAGTTATGTTTAAATAAGTAATGGAAGTAGAAAAGATAGAAGATGATGATAAGTATAAGATAATAATGAATGCAATTATAATAATAAATAAATAGGTAAGTAGATAATGATGAGAATGTAATTATATAAACTTATAGTGACATGTAGTCAAATAGATTATAAATGATTCAGTTTTTTATTTTTCAAAAAATTAAAGAAATTCTCTTATTAATAAACCGGCTGTTGTTATTTGAATGTTGGGGAGTTCCTACAGTAAAATGAAACTTTTTTTTTTTTTTTTAATTTTGGGACTGAAGAATAATGGTTGGGTTCATCTAGAAATACTGTAACAGATGTTTGAATATTCAAAGTATAAAAGCTGGCTTCTGTATATTTCTAGCTGTATGTATACTCACCTAACGTCATACCCTGACCTAGAAGAAGATTGAGCAGATTTGAAAACGCAACCCTTGTATGCGTTTTACTCCCTTTTCGATTTATCATTTATACTAACTTCTAAGCAAATTTAATTCACATCTATATTGAACAAATTTTAAAAGATATTACATTTCATTTATTTTATTAAAAAAAAGCATAAAACACAATTGGATTTACAAAAAGTAGTATTTTCACCCATGCAATGCACGGAATAGATTTGTTATATTATATTAAAAATATTTGGGTCCGTTATACAATTATTTAAATTATAACATTAAATATTATATAGCACAATTGAAAATATGGTCTGGATCGTTTATGTTTGTTGATGTTATTATTGCTTCAATTCAAGCAAATAATTGCTCAAATTAATAGCTAATGGGTAGATGTACGCATGCGGTGTTGTAACTTTAAAGATTTTATATATTATTTTTTCATATTTTTATAAATTAGACAAATGTGCTCGTTCTCTAGCAACTAACTTAGTTATAGTTGATACGGTTAATGCCCGTGTACGTAGGTTGCATGTATGTAATGTGTATGAACAATGTAGAGAGAAGCTCAAGTAGATCTCTTTTATTCATAATTGTTTGTAGAGAGAAGGGAGAGCATTCTAGAGAGAGAGTATAGTGTGGGGGAGAGGGAGAGAGGACCCCTAAAATGAAGGGTTAAAAGCCCTTATATAGGTCAACCCAAGTCGGGTTTGACCTTGACCCGAACCACCTTGACCCGAACAGTTTGTCCCGACCCAAATAGGAGCACGGAGCGTACGGGTAGCCTGAACCGGGGGTATATTCCCCATCATGAAGCCCCCCCCAGTCCGTGCCCTGACGATGAGTTAGCGAGGAAGGATTCGGGCTGGAAAACTGATCACACGGTCCGTGACTTGCGCCATTTGCCTCGTTAAAAACCTTAGGCTAATAAAAAACCCAATGGGAAAAACTTTAGCTAAGGAAAAAAGAGCACAACGCTAAACGCAGTCTGGTGGACTAAAAAAGGGAGTTGCCCGAACTAGGGGTCGGTTTTGCAACATGATTCGAGAGGTCGAACCTTTACGGGACGAACGAACGGGAAGCTAGCTAAGATCTAGAGATCGGGTTAGATGCGATCTAGAGGTATACTTTATCGGTCTGCCGACCGGGTTTCTAGGTACGACCGGGAGGTCGGATTTATTTACGATTTGGGGATCAAACTTTCTATGACTTAACACTAGAAGACCGGGAAGATCAATCTACGCGGGAGCGCGACGAGCTACTACCGATGTAGCCCTTCACTCCCTTAGTTGCGAGAATCGTCAACATAAGATAGTAGATATGATAGTTTTCCGAGTTTGCTTTGCAACTTTAATCGCGATCTGCAAATGACTCAACTGAACTCACGATGTCGATACATCAAACTATACTTAGGCCGACCGGGCGTAGAGCGCCGGTGGTGGCTATGCCAACCTAACCGGGCGTGGAGCACCGGTGGTGGCTATGCCAACCTAACCGGGCGTAGAGCGCCGGTGGTGGCTATGCCGACCTAACCGGGCGTGGAGCACCGGTGGTGGCTATGCCGACCTAACCAGGCGTAGAGCGCTGGTTGTGGCAATGATGCTGACCGGGCGTAGAGCGCCGGTGGTGGCTATGCCGACCTAACTGGGCGTGGAGCACCGGTGGTGGCTATGCCGACCTAACCGGGCGTAGAGCGTCGGTTGTGGCAATTATGCCGACCGGGCGTAGAGCGACGGGAGTGGCTATGCCAACCTAACCGGGCGTAGAGCGCCGACGGTGGCAATGATGCCGACCGGGCGTAGAGCGCCGGTTGTGGCAATTATACCGACCGGGCGTAGAGCGCCGGGAGTGGCTATGCCAACCTAACCGGGCGTAGAGCGCCGACGGTGGCAATGATGCCGACCGGGCGTAGAGCGCCGGTTGTGGCAATGATGCCGACCGTGCGTAGAGCGCCGGGAGTGGCTATGCCAACCTAACCGGGCGTAGAGCGCCGACGGTGGCAATGATGCCGACCGGGCGTAGAGCGCCGGGAGTGGCTATGCCAACCTAACCGGGCGTAGAGCGCCAACGGTGGCAATGATGCCGACCGGGCATAGAGCGCCGGTGGTGGCTATGCCGACCTAACCGGGCGTGGAGCACCGGTGGTGGCTATGCCGACCTAACCGGGCGTAGAGCGCCGGTTGTGGCAATGATGCCGACCGGGCGCAGAGCGCCGGGAATGGCTATGCCAACCTAACCAGGCGTAGAGCGCCGTCGGTGGCAATGATGCCGACCGAGCGTAGAGCGCCGGTGGTGGCTATGCCTAGCCCCCCGAGTCCGAGCGGCTATGACAGTCGGTCAATTGCCGATCGGACTTAGTGGAAGGAAACGCGAAAGAAACGCGCGTATAGCTCCCCGAGTCCGAGCGGCTATGACGGTCGGTCAATTGCCGGTCGGATTTAGTGGAAGGGGACGCGAAAGAAACGCGGGTATAGCTCCCCGAGTCCGAGCGGCTATGACGGTCGGTCAATTGCCAGTCGGACTAACTAGGAAAAGAGGGGAACGCGAAAGAGACGCGCGTATAGCCCCCCGAGTCCGAGCGGCTATGACGGTCGGTCAATTGCCGGACGGACTAACAAGGAAAAGAGGGGAACGCGAAAAGACGCGTGTATAGCCCCCCGAGTTCGAGCGGCTATGACGGTCGGTCAATTGCCGGTCGGACTACAAGGAGAAGACGACATTATGGTCGTTCGGGCAGCAAAGCCGTAAGTTTAAGCGACATTGTGGTCGTTCGGGCAACAAAGGCCGTAAGTTTAAGCGACATTGTGGTCGTTTGGGCAACGAAGGCCGTAAGTTTAAGCGACATTGTGGTCGTTCGGGCAACAAAGGCCAGAAGTTTAAGCGACATTGTGGTCTTTTGGGTAACAAAGGCCGGAAGTTTAAGCGACTTTGCGGTCGTTACAAGTTTAAGCGACTTTGCGGTCGGTACAAGTTTAAGCGACTTTGCGGTCGGTACAAGTTTAAGCGACTTTGCGGTCGGGCTTGTCCTTGTGGGTCGGGAGACCAGAATTGCCTACTTAGGTCGGCATAGCCACCACCGGTGCTCCACGCCCGGTTAGGTCGGCATAGCCACCACCGGCGCTCTACGCCCGGTCGGCATCATTGCCACCGTCGGCGCTCTACGCCCGGTTAGGTTGGCATAGCCACTCCCGGCGCTCTACGCCCGGTCGGCATCATTGCCACAACCGGCGCTCTACGCTCGGTCGGCATCATTGCCACCGTCGGCGCTCTACGCCCGGTTAGGTTGGCATAGCCACTCCCGGCGCTCTACGCCCGGTCGGCATCATTGCCACAACCGGCGCTCTATGCCCGGTTAGGTCGGCATAGCCGCCACCGGTGCTCCACGCCCGGTTAGGTCGGCATAGCCACCACCGGCACTCTACGCCAAGTCGGCATCATTGCCACCACCGGCGCTCTACGCCCGGTTAGGTTGGCATAGCCACCACCGGTGCTCCACGCCCGGTTAGGTTGGCATAGCCACCACCAGCGCTCTACGCCCGGTCGGCCTAAGTATAGTTTGATGTATCGACATCGTGAGTTCAGTTGAGTCATTTGCAGATCGCGATTAAAGTTGCAAAGCAAACTCGGAAAACTATCATATCTACTATCTTATGTTGACGATTCTCGCAACTAAGGGAGTGAAGGGCTACATCGGTAGTAGCTCGTCGCGCTCCCGCGTAGATCGATCTTCCCGTTCTCCTAGTGTTAAGTCATAGAAAGTTTGATCCCCAAATCGTAAATAAATCCGACCTCCCGGTCGTACCTAGAAACCCGGTCGTCAGACCGATAAAGTATACCTCTAGATCGCAGCTAACCCGATCTCTAGATCTTAGCTAACTTCCCGGTCGTTCGTCCCGTAAAGGTTCGACCTCTCGAATCATGTTGCAAAACCGACCCCTAGTTCGGGCAACTCCCTTTTTTAGTCCACCAGACTGCGTTTAGCGTTGTGCTCTTTTTTCCTTAGCTAAAGTTTTTCCCATTGGGTTTTTTATTAGCCTAAGGTTTTTAACGAGGCAACTGGCGCAAGTCACGGACCGTGTGATCAGTTTTCCAGCCCGAATCCTTCCTCGCTAACTCATCGTCAG